TATTTTTTCTTCTTCTTTTTCATCTTTGGATAATACTTTTGTTTGTTGACCATTTTGTTGTATAATTTGTAATTGTTGTAATGTACATAATACAACACTTTGTGTTAGTCTTATAAATCGATCAAAATTTTTTATTTCTCGATAACAACACATGCATTGCCTATAAAAATAAATGAAAAGAAATTTTTAAAATAGAAATAATACAATTATATTAAAAATTTAATATATATATAGTTTATATAAAAGTTTATATAATTTACATAAAAAACAAAAATGAAATCAGACCTTTGAACCCATTGATTAACATAATGTAATGTTGTATCCACATCCGAAATACAAAGTGATGCCAATCCATCTTGTTCCTTTGATGATCTTTCATCATCTAAATATAAATTATAAGTTAAAATAAACAATATAAAAATTTAATAAATAAAATTTTATAAGCAAAATCAATCTAAGAAAACATTTTTATATTACTATTATTATTTTTTTTTATATCAAATATTTAATGCTAATTTTAATAATAATTATGATTTTTGTAAAATATAACTTATTTAAATATTTTATTATTTTATATATTTAATATATGAAATATATTCGTACATTAGACTTTAAAATCATATATAAACGATGAGGTTATATATATATTATAATATTATAAACGAAATTTTATAAAGTTAAATGTAATTATAAAAATAATTTTTACAGTAATTCTTTTTCTAAATTATTTATATTAAAATATTAGATGATGATATAAAACAAAAATTTATAACATGTTCGACAGTACAATAGGTTAATGTGAAAATATTGTGCATTTTTGCTTACAGGAGAGCAGAAGATCATGAAAGTCAACACATACATCGCACATGGTTTTCTTCCCTTTAGCCTCTGAAAGGCTTTTAATCACGTTAAGTTCATCACTCTACTTCACCACCATCCATTGCAAAAGTTGGTAATATTATTAAACATTTGTATTCTTGATTATCCTCAACACTTGATTAATTCGTTAGTCACCATATTGCTTTTTTACGCAGCTGCGTTCACTTGCCGCTTACTTCAGATGAGCAGCAATAAATAGCTTTCTATTTTTTGTAAATCTTTTGTATTTACAAAAAAGTAATATAATAACATAAAACTATTTCACTTTATTATTATTGTAGTTTACAAATATATCTTATATAAATAATTTTTAAAAAATTTAATCTTATGCTTATCAATATGAATGTCATTATGACAGAAGACAGCTGATCGTCGCCATATTTTATTGAAGTAATATGATATATAAATTATTGTATCAGTACTTTAAACTAAACTACTTTTTAATAATATAAAAATCAAAAATTTATTTTTTTTATGTACATAAGCGATAAAATTAAATATTAATTAGATTTTATTTTTTTAACTTAAATATTTGTTTAATTATTTAATTATAGATTTGATTATTTAAAATATATAATTTATTTATAATTTATAATATTAATAAAAATTATAATATACTATATATATATTACTAAATATATAAATCTTTCAAAAAATTATAATTATTAATATGCTATTTATTGATAATTAGTAATATGATCTTCTATTGATAATATACAATTAGTAAATTATTAATTAATAAAATGATATTAAATAACAAATAATATCTTCAATATATTAGCAAAAAAAATAAATGTTATCAAAAGTTTTCAAATAAAATTATCAAATAACTTTAAATTGTTTAAATAGAATAAAAAAAATAATAATAAATGAAATTATTTTTATTATATAAAATAAATATATTATTTTTACAATAATCAAATATTAATGACTTTATTAAAAAATAATCAATGTTAGAAATTTAATTTAAAATAATTTTAATTTATCAATTCTTTTAAATTTATTTATAACCTTTAAAGCTTTCTTCATAATCTTTGATTATTAAAATATTAATAAACTTTAAATATATTATAACAATTCATTTTCAATTTTTTATATTTATTATATAATATTATTTAATTTAAAATAACTATGGTTATATATTCAATTTATAATATCAAGGAAGAGTAAGCAATTTTCTATATAAAATTTTGATATGGTATAGTAGAAATACAGTGCTTGTAGCGCCAGTTATTCAGAACTATGATAAACAATCTCGAAAGAAGCATAACATCTTGTGCGATTTATAGAATAGTAATTTTTGTGTGAAGTTATTGACTTGTGTCGGGTTATAGGGTGTCGATAAGTATCATATATAAAGAAATAAATTTTAGTAAATAATTGAAATGGGTAGCACAGATAAAGCTGTGATCACGGGTTTTATATGTAGACTTTGCAGCAAAATGAACCGTTTCGTGATCCATATATACGGTGAAGAGGGTGAAAGAATGAAACTTGCTGAAAAAATAAATGCTTATCTCCCAATTACGGTAAAATAATTATGTACTTTTATATTTTTTTAAATCATTTTTATCAATATTTATATATTGTTAATAATATTGTTAATAAAATTTTTATATCTTGTATAACATTTTATATATGGCTGAATAAGATTTCAGCTTGTTTAAGTTATATTTTTAATTTTTTTTATATAAAATTTTTAACCATATTTGACAATATTGAATCAAATATAATAATTTAAAGATTAAAAACTGCACATCATAATAAAAAAAGTTCATTTTATTATAAATTTATTAAGTTTTTTTAAATATAATTATTATAGTTATATTAATTTATCAGAAGTTAATTTGAGTTATTTATTATATTATTTATTTATTTATACATATTATACATATATATATCTGGTTTATTATATATTTTAAGAACTTTTATATATAAAGAAAATTTCTAATTTTTTAAAATATATATGTGCAAATATATAAATAATATTAGTATATAATAATAATATTATATAATATATTAATAAATAAATTTAATTTAAAAATTTAGAAATAAATATATAATTTTTATATTTTTGTCATATAGGTAAACATGAATGACCCATTACCTAAAACAGCTTGTCTACATTGTATCGAACGACTAGAAGCTCATCATGAATTAATGGGACAATTTTTATTAGCTAAACGAAGGTTAACAAAATCATCAACAGTTGCATCAACTTCAACACAAACTGTTGATACTGCGCCAACATCTAGTTCACCTCCATGTTGACATATAGAATTAAAAGCATATCTTTACGCTCAATATTATTAAACATTTTCTGTATCTTATTTGTATTGTTATTTGAATAATTTATTACTAGGAACATAATATTGTTAAAGAAAAAGGTATATACAATTAATCAATTCATTCAGCAATCCATAAAATTATTTACTTAATTTACTTGTCTTTAATGATTTTATACAAAATTTTTTCTTAAAATTATTCATTTATTGTATAAACTTTTTATTTTTTACACAAATTATAATTTTTTATTAATACTTTTATTAATATTATGAAATATATATAATAATTATTTCTTTATATTTCATCACTTTTTCAAAAAATTAAAATTTTTTTTTTATTATAATGAATAAAATTAAAATTAGGTATATATATATATAAATATCTTTAGCTTATTTGAATATTAATGTTCAAATTTTTCAATTAATATTTTATGTTATGTATTTTGTATAGTTTTTATTATATATATATATATATATATATATAACAAATTTGTAATCATTTTTTAATAATGTCAGATAGTATATTGCTTCTTTAACAAATTTATACTGCTGGTACAAAGATAGATAGCTATGTCAAATTTATTAAAATATTAAATAATGTCACATTATATATAATTAAAAATTAATTAAAAAATAAGAAATCATTTTATTGATAGATGTTTACTAGCATTATATATTAGATACACAAAATTGTCAATATTATACATAAAGTAATCATGTTTCATTTGTTATTAAATATTAATAGTTTTATATATAAAATATATGTATAAAACTATAATAATAAGAATATTTGCATAATTACATTATACTAATATATATTATTATGCAGAGTTTAACAAAATTTGAATGTTTACTTCTAAGTTGCAATATAATGAATAATTTATAATAATTTTCAAAATAATTTTCAAAATAAAAATTTTAATTAATTACAGTATTTTATATTTTAAAAAACCAAAAATCATTTTAAAAATAATACAAGGATAAATGATATTACTATAATTTGTTAAGATAGGATTTATTTCTTAACAATATTCGCTAACACAATTAAATGTTACGTAGAACAATATTATTGGTTGGCGACACAATCTACATTGTGCTTACTATATGTATTATTTCACATGTAATTCATGATTTACAAAGAGAAAATTTGTTTTTAGAAGATAAGGATGCGTTCGTCACTCAAATAATTCGTCATTTGTTATATGTTCTTAAATATTTTAATATTATTTGTTTTACTCAATATGTTATCACTATTACATAAGAAAAGACAATATAAAGCTATGTATCTGTGATCAATATATGTACATAATAGTTTATTTATATATTTAATCAATATCCTGAAATCAATATCCAATATCTATATAATATTTTTTTACAAAAATTATTGCCTAAATATGTAAAGTACAAATAATAAAGATAATGATGGATCATAATGAAATAGTAGACACATGTATTCACGATTTATATAGGATAATTCATTTGTTATTTTTTTAAATTAATAAATAGAGATCCATTTAAATAATATTATATTTCAAATATTATATCTAAAAATGGTATTATTTTGACAAAAATGTATACTTCATATATCTAGTTTAAATTATGAAGTTTAATTAATGATGTTAAAATATATATAATATTTAAGTAATATCTTATATAACAAATTTATTTATAACAATAATCAAAAAGAAAAAATATCATTAATATTAATGTTTGAATATTATTGTTTGCAATCTTGCTGTTAATTATTTTGTAGTTTATTAAATTGAGTTATACAATATATTAAAATACTTTTATATTTAAATCTTTTATTGTTATTTTGAATAATGAAAACTTGAAAATAAAATTTTTTATATATTTCTGATGAGATCATCTAATAATAAACAGTGAAATATAAATAAGACATTCTCTGTTTTTTTTCTTTTTAACGCGAAGTTAAAATACATTCTGTTTATTATTTGATTGAGTGTCGATACACATCATCTTGACTTCTTAAAACAAATATTTAGCATGTGCTACTGCAAGATTTCTGAAACCATTATACAATAATATACGTAGCTATACCTGTGTGCGATAAACTACTAAAACCTGACTTATGAGTGTCTTTAACACACACCATGTAAAATATGTACAAAGATTTATGGAGCCCAACTCCTAATTTTCTTTCATTTTTCCCCCAATGTATGATCATGTTGTCTGATATCATAAAGCATGTCCGCGACTGATTTTTTTATAAAAAATATATAATATATATATATCTATATAAAATTTCATTTTTTCTTTTCTCAGCCAACATGTCTTCGTACAAATTTAATTCCACTCAGGGGAATTATTTGATTTTGTTTTCTGCAACTTGTTTCTTAACTTTAATTTTTCATTTTCTTTTAATTTAGTACCTGAGGTACTTTAACGCTCAAATAGAAATATAAATGCATCTTTGACCAATTACGATATATATGACGATGAACGTCTAATACCTATTTAATGATTAAAGCACAATGGCAGCAATTTTTCGAATATAATGCAAAAAGGCTGTAAATTGATAAATGTTGTTGAGCTGCATTCATGACAATTGCATAAAAATCCAATTTTATGCCTTTTGTCAAGAAATTTAATTTGAAATACGAATATTAATTACAATAAATCTTAATATTTTATATTTGAGAATAACTATAATATGATATTTTATTTGTGTAAATTATTTACATAAATTAAAGTAATTTCTTTTAGAAATTAAAATTGTGCTATATTTCACATGCATATCAATGTACAATCATCCATTCATAAATTGTTTACGTACATTGCTTTGAATATGATCATTTTTTTTTACTTTAAAAATTATATTAAATTGCAACATTTTATTCTTTAAATAAAAAATTTCGATCATAAGAGTGCTAAAATTCTAATTATATATATATTGTGAATCACTATAACATTACTATATTCTAATATATACAAAATTTTCTATCCTAGAATGCGATGGTTGTTGACATCTTTTTATCGTCTTGAAAACAGCTCAACTGCCAATGGTGCTAAAAACTATATTCGAAACAAAAATGACAGACGGCTTATGACAATTATTTGTTCCCAAGATGTCTTTACAATAACACACTATCGGTAACATTTTTCTCAGCCTTTTCTTAGAAAACAAGAATGAACGATGAAATGATCATCAAGTTCGATAATTTGTACTTTGCATCTGAGCAGGTGAAATGACAAATTAAAGGATAAAAATTTTTAACTGTCACATTATGATCTTGACAAAACAATGTACAACACAAAGCACATATGAATATATTTTTTCATTCTGGTAAGTGTTCTTTCTTTACTAAATCTTATATCTATATCTACAATTTATATTAATAGAGAAAAAATTACCTAAATAATATTAGGTAGATAAAAATTGTCATGAAATCTGCTGTAATTGCAGGATGTCCATATAGTGATTCTATTCTATTATTTATATGTTGTATAAAAGTTTCTTTAACGCAGATTAAATAAATTAGGATATTTGAAGGCAGCTCATCACGAACAAGCCTGTTGCATTTCTGCTTTAGCTGCCTTTATGGCTAGAACCAAATTAAATACATTTTTTATGTATAAAAGAAATTTTATATAAAAATTTTTATATATTTTATTTTAAAAAAGACTAATAATTTAAAAAATTATATATATAAAATTTTTACCTTCTCGTTCTCTCCTTCTTAACTTTTTTCTGCGTCTTTCAATAGCGGCAAGTTCAACTTTCACAGCATTATATGTTTTACGTAATTCAGCTAATTTTTGCTGCAATACAGCTATCCTTTGACTACCATCCAATTCAGGATCTATAATATGAAAAAAAAAATTAATAAATTTTTTTATAGTTAATGGAATAAAATTAAGATAGAAACTATTTAATTTTTTACCTAATTCCACATAAAAATTATATTTTGTAGGTCGAGGTGATCTCGATGAATAATTACTTAGATCGGGAACACTACTTATATTCGTATGATTTGTTGAAGTTGAATTAACTCCGCATAAATTAGAACCTTCACTCGTATCATCGCTATCACTTCCACCACCATGTCTACCATGTCTATTACTATGTCTTCCTGTTTTTTTAGTAGTGTTTTTATCACATTCTGAATGTTTTCTATTTCTTTTACGTTTTTTAGGAGATTGTGTTTCTTCAATAGAACGTTTTGCTGGTGGTTTTAATATCCTATCTGCAGAATTTCCTTCAACATTTGGCAATGTATCATCTTCACTAAATCCTGGACCTTTACCACCGCTATCATTATCTGCTTCAGAACTATCACGATTATGTTTCATATTATCCTCCGAAGTTGGTGATGAACCACCTATTCTTTCTTCTCTTGGAGATCCAGAAATATTGGAAATACTTGAATCAGGTGTAGTTGGAGGAGTATTATCCATTACAGGTGCTGCTTCATTGCTTTCTCTTCTCTGTGCAGACATTAGTGCAGGTAAATGTTGATGATGAGATTGTTGCCTCACACCAAGAGTAGGATTTTGTTGTATAGATAAAGAAACTGGAACAGATGTTTCTACAGTTTTTGGCAATGCCATACTAAGAGTAGCAACAGTACTGCTGGTTGTACTTTGACCAGATGTAGGTGCACTTGCAAATGGCATTTCCATTAGTACTATATTACTTTCTGTAGTTTCAACTTTTGGAGGTGAACAAGATGGACCAGCATTTATTTGTTCTATATTTTCAGTAATAGGTGCTGGTGAACCTGGTATTTCTTCTTCACAAAGCAAAGAATTAATTGTCTCTCCTTCTTCATCTGTTTTTGTAATAGATATTTCTTTAATTTCACTTTTAAATTCACATTCTTGTTGTTGGTGTTTCAATGATTGCATAGGTTTTTGTGTTTGTAATTGTGAATATCTTTCTTGTGTATCTTGAAGTCTATCTAATTCTGCTCTTAATTTAATATCAAAATTTGATGAAGTTTTTACATCTTGTGATTCCTCATTATCAATTATTAGTCTCTGTTCAGAATCACTACTATCTGCAGAATCTACCACATCTTGACTAATTATTTTTTTATGCTTTTCTTTTTCTTTTTCTTTGTTAAAATCATGCTCTTTAAATTCATCTTCTATTTTTTTAGATTTATCATTTTCTATACATTTCCATTCTTCTTCTTCTTGTATTTTTTTATGTTCTATTTTAGTTTCAACAAATTTTTTTATTTCTATTTCTTTTTTTAGTTTAAATTGTTGAAGTTCCTCCTCTTCTTGTTTAATTACCACACACATTATTTCTTTACATTGATTTTCATTATTAATTATAATATCTTCATCTTCTTGTTTTTTATTTTCACTTTCAATTTTAGATCCATGTTGATCTTCTTTATTTTTTTGTATAATTGCAATATCTAACTTTTTACAAATTTCTTTTGAAGATTTCCATACAACTTCGGTAATTTCTTCTTCTTTTTTGATATCTTTAGTTTTATTACGAAAAGCCATTGCAGCTGAAAGTTTTTCTTCTATTGTAGATGTAGCTGGTAATCTTGCACTAATTGGTGCTGGAATTGTTACAATTGGAGATGAAACAGGTGTTATATCTAATAATTTTGATTCCAATGATTTTAATTCTGGAGATTGTGTATGTAATGGAGATTTAATCATTTCCTTTGGTTCAACAAGAATATCAGATTTATTTGAAATTGCTAATGTTGTATCTTCTCTTATTGATTCAATTTGTAAATTTGAATCTTCTTTATTTAATTCTATTGAATCATTTGCATCATTAGAAGAGAACATTTCTTGTTGATATGTAAATAAGTTTTCTTGTTCTGCTTCTGAAACTTCTGCTTCTGATATTATTAAACGATCTTCTGAATCATCATGGGTAGCATCATCATCTCCAGGTAAATCACTAAATAAAAGATCTATACCATTACTTATTTTATTTGTTTCCTCAATGATAGGTATAGATTTTACTTGATTAAATGGTGGTGACTCACAAAGTTTATCAAATGCTTCTTCACATGTTGTTAATGATGTGGATTGTAATTTATGAGAAGTTAAATCTGTAATATCATCAACTCTTTTACTAAACAATTTTTTCACTTTTTTTCGTGAATCAATATCTATTTCTGATTTAGCTTCTTTTATAACTGGTGATACTATTTTTTGTTTTTTCTTAGGACTTTTTGGCTCATCCTCAAATACTCTCTTTTTTATTTTATCTTTTTCTCCACTCGTATCTCGTTTATTTCGTACTTCAAATTCAAATGGTTCTGGTTCTTTAAATTCATATATATCTTCTGTATTATCTATTATTTTAGATTCAGACATTGTTTCTAATTTTGATGATTCTAAATTTTTTTCCGATTTTGGTGAAACTAAAACAACATTCTCTTTTTCTTCTATTTTTATTTCATCTTCTGGATCTGGTTCAACTCTAACAAGTTCTAATTTCACTGCTTTATCAAAACCTTTTAATTCAGATCGTATTTGATTTAAATCAAAATCTCGACCTTTTGGTTGTTCTTCGTCACTATCTGGTTCAGATTTTATACCTTGCGATTTACTAATTGTTCTTCTTAAACGTCTACCTCTACGCGGTTCTTCCAAATTATCTTTATCTTCTTCACCCTCGCTAGTTTCCTCAGGTTTTATTCTATCTTCTACTCTATATCTTGCTTCTCTACGTTTTCTTTCCTCCGTAGTCTTAGATTTAGTTCTTATTTGTTCAGATTCTGTAGTATCTGAATCATATGTTTCACTTTCTTCAGTTTCCGATGGAACTATATCTGCATGTCCAGAAGTTCTTCTAGTTCGTCTTCGATGTTCTATATTGGATATATCATTATTTCTTGTTCGTGTCTGACGATTATTCGCTGGTGTTGCTGGACTTTTAGTTCTAGAGCTAGAACTTATAACAGACAATGGAGTTGTAGATCTAACTGGTTGAGATATTTCTTTATCTTTATCTTCTCTTTTGACTTCTTTTGTTGAAGATGAAATAATTGATGTAGGTGCAACACTTTGTGCTCGACGTCGATTTTGAGATGTATTTGAATTAGCATTAGAAATCATTTTTGATGATTTATTTATATTATTTGATAAATTCGTACTAGGAGTTTGAGGTCTTGAAGTAGCTTTAATTCGTTTTACTCTTCCTTGAGCTTGTGTAAAATTCTGTGCTATTCTTGATGGTTTAATCCATTCATCATATCTTGTATTCCATCCAGTATAATGTACTAAATACATTGGTTCTGTACCATCTTTCTCCATGTCAATAATCTTTGCTTCATAAGTAACTTTAGATTCATGAGTAGGTCCATAATAAACTTTCAATCTATCTCCTAATTCTACAGGCCCTTTGTAACAAGGAGCTGAATCCGTTAACTGTTCATCTGTACGTGATTTTTCTACTTCATATTCTTTTCGTTTTCTTCCTCGTCTTTTTAAATCTTCATCTATTAATCGTCTTTGTTTAGATAAAGTTTTTCTTTCTGATTCTCTTGATGGAGTTCGTGTTTCTCTATTTTCAGAAGGCGTTTTACCTTTTATATTATCGTCCTTAGATTTTGATCTTGTTTTAGTAGCATCTTCTTCTTTTATTTTATCATCTTTTTTTTCTTGTCTTTTAAATTCATTTTTCTTTTTTTCTATTACTTTTTTCTTTGAGTCTTCTTTATTTTTAGATTTACCTCTATTTGGTAATGATAATGATGTTGAAATTTTTTGAGATTTTTCACTGGAGGACGATTCAGCTTCACCCTCAATATTTACATCACTTTCTTGTCCACTACCACTTTCCTCAAATTCATCCTTCTTTTTTATTTTAACAATTTCTTCTTCCTTTATCGATTCTTTCTTAGCTTCTTTCTTTTCCTTTTTTTCCTCTTCCATAATTTTTTTATCTTCTTCTTCTTTTTCATTTTTAGCAACTGATACTTGAGGAGGTACAGGTGTATTTCTGTCCTTATCTCTAATCAAACTTCTTCCAGGACGTTGTTTACGCATAGTACCTCTTGGATGATTTACCATAGTACAACCTAATTTTCTATAAAAATCTTCAAAAGAGTGTAAGAATTTTTTATAGGCCTGTTTAACCAAATTGTGCGTAGATGGTGAATTTTGCATTGTAAAACTCAGGCGACGTGTTATCAATTTCCATTGATTTTGATTTGTTACACGATTGTAACCTCCTAATTTATAAACGGCACGAAATAATCTATATAAATCTATATCTTCAGAACCAATCATTGGGCAATTGTTAATAGGTGTTCCTCGATCATCCATAAATTTATATAATTGTGCTACAAAATGATCTTTTTCTTCACGTGGTTCATCATCAGAACTCTGCAAAATAAATAAAGTTTATATAATATGTGAAAACAATAAATTATAACTAGAAAAAAAAAATCTTACATCAGAATCAAGTTCTCCATCTGAATCACTGTTTCCACTTGATACAGAATGCCCAAAAAGAGAATCTCTATCCCAATGAGGAGGTAATTCATTCTTTTCTAAAAATAGCAATGCCTTTTCTACTGCAACCTTCAATGTGCTATTTTCAACTTTGTTGACAAGTTCTTTTGTAAATTCAGTGGCTTCTTTCTTCGGAACTGTATAACTGAATATGCAAAAAATATCATAGTAATATAAAAAGAAATATTTAAATAAACAGTGTAATATTATAAAAATAAATATTGTAAAAATTAACTTTTAATAAATATATTTTTAATGAAAAATAAATTAAATAAATTTTATATATCTGATATTATATTTTAGAAAAATTATTAAATATCTGTAGTTCTAAATAAAAAATATTTTAATGAAAAAAAAAAATTTAACATATTAATATTATTTTATTAAACTTATCATAAATATATGAATATAATATATGAATAATTTCATATGTATGTATAATATTTATGTATTCATATTTTCCACAAAACTTGTTTACACATAAACACAATTTAAACTTACTATCGTGCATCCTTAAATGAGCGCACAAGATAGTCATCTCTTACTCTAATTCTCACTGTATCTTGAGCAGTAGGTGCAACTACCAATCCAGGAAACCAATTATCTTTCTTTTTTTTGTCCCCAAGTTCCACACATACAACTCGTCCAATTTCAGGTTCTGTTTCCATTCCTTCTTTTCCAGTTCCACTAGAACCTGAATCACGAGTTCCTCGTGGAGGGCTATCTTCATCATCACTACTTTCATCTCTTTAACAACAATTCTTTGATAAATATTAATTCAAATTATATTACAAAATTATATTGAATTATTTCACTGTACTCACTGTGCTTGTCTAGAGCGCCGTCCTCTTCTACCTCCAATTACTGGATTGCCAAAATGCTCTGGATGTGTCAAAGGAAGTTGGTCCAAAGTTTCGCTTTCTGCAAAATGTCGTCCACTTTTTAGACAAAGTGCAGTTCTTCTTAATGTTGTAATATCTCCATCATCAAAAACTACAGTATATTGACTGCAGTCTTGAATTTTAGTAATAGTAGCTTCCACATATTCTTTTCTATCTCCATGTTTAGCTTCAACAGCTGCACCTACTCTTAAAGTTCCTTTTATCTGATCATCAGCTACTGTTGCTGTACCCAAACCTTGTTTATAAGTCACTCTGCATTTTACTGATCTTACTACTTTTCGAATTTTTGCTTCACAGAAGGCACCCTTGTATTTAGCACTAACCTCCGTACCCACTGATAGGTACGGTGGATCGTCTCCCTGTAACAGAAGATATATCTATATTTAAGATTTATAGTTTTTTTTATGTATAATTTTTCATGACATACTTTTATAAATATTTTATTATACATTCATTCTCTAACTATAATAAAATAATAAGAAATATCTAAAATTTTAATATTTTGTTATACAGCTTTAATAAAAAATTATAATAATAATAAATAATATCAATGAAATTTTAGATAATTATTATTAATTTTTCATCTAAATATACCATTAACATCTAATTTCGTTTTAAATTACATTTCTATTATTATTAACGATAACCGAAAAATAAAAGTATCAAAATTGATTTAAAAACATTAACTGTCTTGTATGATGAGCTATTGTTTATGTAGGCGGTCATGCCTCGCAGGTACAAATTATTTTTAAATCGAAATTGTCCTACGATAAACAAGAACTTTCGCACGAAGATATTTCGTTGAAATAAAACTCATACTTTGATATCTTAACCACGTTTTCAAAACGGAGTCCACTACGTTCGTGACAGCCTGTCGATTTCTCAGACATCAGGTAATAGTTGTAACCTCGAAGGTACTTTAGGTGAGACATTCGTCCGAAGTAAATGACCTGCGAAAGCGTTGTAACTACATAACAAAAGCACGGATTTTACTTTCTCGGTACGCACGGCAGAAAAAAGAACTCAACTATACAATCTTTGCGCACTTGTTTCTACGTCAACTTTGCTCCCGCCTGTTTCCTTACCAGCATCTTCTAGCGCTCCACGATCTCCATATAAATAATCTTAAGACACTGGGATGTGTGACATTAAAATCGAAATTTACATTATATTATTGAAAGTAATAACACAGGAAAAATCACGTAGACATGGAACCTGACCCCTTTCGTGAAACCAACACTTCTCGGCTCGAATGCGTACAAGCTCCTGTTCCCTGCCCATTTCCACCCCGACGCAACTTGTCAGCTAGCCACTCGACTCCTATTGGATGATGTCTTTGCACTCTCTGAAAACAACTGACCAAAGATACGAAATTAAAAATATTATTTTATTGATAAATTATTAATAATTTTAATGGCTATATTATTATGTTAATAAGTTAAGATTTTTCAATAAGGTTTAAAAATAAATGAATATCTATTTAAGATAAAAATTGAAATAATAGAAAGACCGCACTGCGCATACGACAGGGATGTATCAATGTGTTCATAACATCATGATTTTGGGTCGTTCCATCATTTCTTTTAAGAATATTTGGATAAAAGTAATCTTGTATTCTCAATATTCTCAACAAAATTGGTGTATTTTTATTATTAAATTTAATGTGTATGTATCATGTGGATTATCAAAAGTATAAATATTTGTTTTTAAAACAAAACAATGTTTTGAAATCGATATTTTTTTAAAATAATAATTATATGATGTATTGTGCGAAGCATTATATAATTTCTATGTCATATAAAGATTGATATGATTCGAATATGAGAAACGAATAAAGAATTTATAATTTAAATATATTAGTATGTATAAAATATATTACAATTTCTAAAATATACATCACAAATATTTTTATTATTTTTAAATGTAAAATGTAATATATATTCATTAAAATAAATAATGCTAATTTTAATCTTTAAAATATATATATATATATATACTTGAACATTCAGTTAATTTCTTTAATTGAATATATGTTTATAGGTTAATATATATTATTCCAAGAATTTTAATATAATTATAATAAGAATAAAAAATAAAGGTTAATGAAGATTGTTTTGAAAAATATCTATAAATTTATAAATATATATACGTAATCTTAACATTAGGCTAGTTATTCTTTTACTTATTTATAAGCAAAGATAATTATATCTAAATAAAATATTAATTAACCTGAAACATAAGTTTCAATTAAATATCATTATAAAATCTATAAAATAAATCAACGAGTAAATTCGATTATTTTCAATAATCACTGTTTAAATATTTGTTGACAGAATCATATTTAGATTTTGCCATGTGCCTTCATGTTACGTTCCTGTCTGTGGTCGTCTGCTGTGACGCGGAACAAAATGGCGTCGAGTAATGAAGTGCCGGTAGAAATCAACCAGAGTGGCATGTGCACAGCAGAGAATTCAGTAAGTTTTAGCTCAATATTTTCATGAAAGTAAAGAGAAAAAATCTTAACAACATTTTTGATATATTAATATCATTACGAGCAATGAGCGATATTTCATAAACTTTTAAAAGAAGAAAATGTTTGAATGTCGTTTGTCATTATAGTTTTCACTATAGCTAAGTATCTTAAAGACAAATTGATTAGCTCGAACTTATTTCTTTAAGTTTCCTACACATATTTTTAAGAATAATTTTTAATCATTTGAAATTATTTGTCAATATTATTACAAGAAACTTAGATTACGTTTCCTTTGTATGTGCTTGTACTTTTCATATGATAATATAGAAATATGTGTGCGTGTAAAGAATCTCGTTTGATCATTCGATCTTAAATAGACGCCATTCGTTTTGGCGGGCACGTGTACGTCTGGTGTCGACAAAAACGAGTATATTTAACGACTTCATCGTTGTGAAGTCTTTAAGTTTTCTGTTACTGATGAACAACATTGTAATTAATATTTAATAATAATTTTTATTAGACATACATAATAATAATTTTTATTATATTAAATGAAAAAAACATTTATATATTTTAATTTAAGATAATGAATTCATATCACGTGTTTGAAAAATTTTTTCTTAAATATGTATAAATCCTAATTAGTTATAATATTTTTTATAAAATGAATAATAATTTAATTAATATGTTTAATTATTATAGAAATATATTTTTTTAATACAATGTTATATTTTCATCTAATAAATCTAATAATATCAATATAATTAAAATATTTTATGTTCTTTTAGATTAATTATATATATATAATATATATATTTATAATTATATATATATAATATATATATTTATAATTATATATATAATATATATATTTATAATTATATATATAATATATATATATTTATAATTATATATATATATAATAATTATTAATGATATAAAATATAATATATATTATATTTTGTCATTAATAATTTTTGTTTTTGTATTATTATAGGTGTCAAAAATGGAATCTATGGAAGTTACAGAAAATACTGCATTAAATAAAGATGCAACACCATCATCTTGTAGGGAATCTATATCTGTGGATGATATGACATCTCGAGATTATTATTTTGACTCATATGCACATTATGGAATTCATGAAGAAATGCTGAAGGATGAAGTGCGTACAGTGACTTATCGTAATTCTATGTATCACAATAAGCACCTTTTCAAAGGAAAAACTGTTCTTGATATCGGCTGTGGAACTGGTATACTTTCAATGTTTGCTGCTAAAGCTGGAGCAGCCAGAGTTATTGGTATTGAGTGTTCTAATATTGTTGAATATGCAGAAAAAATTGTGGAAGCAAATCAACTGTCAAATGTCATAACAATACTTAAAGGCAAAGTTGAAGAGGTCTCGCTACCTGATGGCATTGAAAAAGTTGACATAATTATTTCTGAATGGATGGGTTATTGTTTATTTTATGAATCAATGTTAGATACAGTGCTTTTTGCTAGAGATAAATGGCTTCGTGAAGATGGAATGTTATTTCCTGATAAAGCAACTTTATTTATTTGTGGCATTGAAGATAGACAATATAAAGATGAAAAAATAAACTGGTGGGATGATGTATATGGATTTGATATGAGTAGTATAAGAAAAGTAGCAATTAGTGAACCTCTAGTGGATGTTGTGGACCCAAAACAAGTTGTTACAAATGCATGCCTCATTAAAGAAGTTGATTTATACACAGTAACTAAGGCTGATTTAGAATTTTCGTCACCATTTACGCTACAAGTTCGTAGAAATGACTATGTGCAAGCATTAGTCACATTCTTTAACATCGAATTCACCAAGTGCCACAAACGTATCGGCTTCAGTACAGCACCAGAAGTACAGTATACTCATTGGAAACAAACTGTATTCTACTTTGATGAATATATGACTGTTAAGAAAGGAGAAGAAATATATGGTGTATTTTCAATGAAGCCCAATGCAAGGAACTACAGAGATTTGGATTTCAGCATTGAATTGGACTTCAAAGGAGAGTTGTGCCAAGTACATGAGACTAATACTTATCGTATGCGCTGATATCTATCAGATTATTTATCTTCTTCCTTTTATTTCCATGATTCATAACATTGTAATCAAATAGAAATCAAGACTTTAATTATCATTGAATTATATTAGATGATTTAATGAAATTTAATAGTACGGTACAATGAATGGTGTGAATTATTTTAATGTTTTCATCCTTTAAATATAAGAAAGTTAGAGGCTTCCTGCTTAAGAATTATAACGTCCAGAATCTTTGTTAATCTAGTAAGAGTTTGCAATGTGACCTACAATTAAGGAAAATAGGATTGATATACTTAATCACAATTAGTGTACATTTACAAAACATTATTTCATGTAAGTGTGTATTAGAAGTATGAATACTATGATAGTTTCATATTTTTATTTTTTCCTGTGACCATTTTGTATTACATATTGTAAATTTCTGTCTTTGTTTTATGTATAACTTATAATTTTGCGCTATTAAATCATTATTGATTTGATATTGTATAAAATTACCAACTTTTTATTTATCACATTTTTGTACCGTATTCTTAAAAATAATTTTTTTTCAAATTTTTGACCTGTAGATTATGCATATTAAACTAAATTCCAAATAATTTCTAAATGCTCGTTTACATTATGTATGACAAATGAAAAATTTATATTATATTTTGTTAATTTGATAGTAAATTGAACCTCATTGTTAGTATTATTCATTTTATCAAAACCTTTCTATAATTATGTTTGATATTAGTAATATTTATGTTACATGTACATTATAATCTCTTTAAAATACTATATATAACATTTATATTACTAATAGTATTAATATAACATTGTATAAATGTTTAAGATTTTTGCAATGATAAAATATTTAATGAGTATCTAGTAAATATTAAGTTCAATATTCTATAAACATTATTTAAAATTAATTCTTTATTAATCTATGTATTGACACATGAAAATTTTATATTGTGTATTTTCTTAAATTATTATATCAATTTTATCAATTTTCATAACGTTAAAAATTAGAATTAAATTTTTTTAAAAATTTGCAAATTACATTCTATTCCAAAATTAATAATTCATTTTATAACATTTTAAAATTTTAAATCCGTATTACAACTTCAGAAAATAATACAATATGTTTAAAATATATATGTAAATAAACAGAAAACTTTTTATATTAAATTTTACTTATTTTTTTTTTTATTAAAAAAAGGAAAAATTCAATATTAATTTCAATATATTATGTTTAAAAAATTTTCTTTAATTATTAAAATATTACATTTTAATATTGCTTTCTAAATATTAATAATTATTAATTATAAGATTTTTTTTAATAAAAAAATAGTATTAAAAATAAAACATATTTATTAAATTTAAAAATCAAAACATAAATATGTAAGAAGAAATACTTTTCCAAACAGAAATTAACTATGAAATTTAATATAATATAATTATATATATGAAATGTGCTTCATATATATGAAAATATTCAAATGAAGTGGTATGTAATATGTCAAAATATTACAAAATTTTGAGCAAATAATTGTTTTATATCAATTTATATATCAGAAATAAGTAAACAAAAAAATTTAATAAATTTTATAGTTATAATGCATATAATTTCTCTCTAAAATAAGAAAAATGTTCATAGCATATGCTGCAATTGTTTGACAATCTTATATACTAACAAAATGAATGCATATATATATACACGTTTAATATCTACTTCAAAATTAAAAAAGAATAAAAATTATCTTTTTTCTCATATATAATATAAAATATAATATATAAAATTTAAAAGATAAGGAAGTAATTGTTTTTATATAGTTTAACGATTTATATAACATTTTTATAACAAAGTTTTGTACAATTGGCTATATAGTACAGTATTATTATTGCAATGAAAGCAATATCTTCACTTATAATTTACACAATGATATTAATATTATAATCATAAATATTGTGTATAACTCTAAAAAATTATGAATATCTATAGATCAAACAAAGTTATTAGGTAGCTAAACCCTTCAAACAATTTGCTAATTTTTGCGTCTTATAATCAGTTCTTAATTGTATAAAATTTATTAAAACATTACGATCTAATGTTGCCTGTAATAAAAAAATATTTTAATTTTAATTAATATAAAAAATTGTTTAATTAAATTTTAATTAAATTATAATACATACCAATTGATCTCCTGTACAAACTTGTTTCAAATTTTCTGGTTTAACTAATAATAAATTGCATAAAGCATATAAAGTATCAAACAAAGAAGTAACAAGATCTATTTCAAGTTCTTTAACACATTTACGATATTCGTTCATATCGCATATCGCACACATAGCACCAGCAGAATTAAACTGAAACTGTTGTAAATGATCATAAATAACTTTATGAAATCGTACTCCAAGTTCAGTTAGAACATTATTTAAATTTTTTCCATCTAAAGTACTTCGAATATGTCGTATCATCCCGTTTACATATTGAACTACTGTTAAACAAGCTGAAGTGCTTAAAGTATCCACATCAGTTTCAGGTTTAAAATCAGTCTTTCGTTGTTCATTTTGTAAGTATACTTTTACCCAACCAATAATAGCATTTATACTTCTATCTAATCCTGTCTCTAGTTTCATATCAATTTGATCCAATATATTTTTTTTTTTTAACATGCAATCTCCATGTTTGGGTGTTGATCTAAAAAAAATTATATATTTTAGATGCATTCTTAAAAATGAAATATAAAATTAATAAAATAAATCATACATAATAAGAGGTATCACACTATCATTAAATTGTTCTTCTAATAAGCGTACAATTGCATTGCATTGACGTACAATATTGAAAAAATGTATTTCAGGTTGAGTTCTACTTTCAGGAATTGGTACACTTTGTAAACCCAATTCTAATGCATAATCAACATGTTCACTTATTAAATATTGTAATAATATTTCAAAAATTTGAAGTGCATTCATTGGTATTTCATCAGATTTTGATAATAACTGACATCTTTGAAATGCCACTTTACTTCTTTGTAATAAAGCAATTGCAAGTTCTTCTGATAAAAATGTTTCTCCTCCATAATTTTCTATTTGTGCAATATTGATATTAGTTCTTGCACCTAAAACTGCTTGTAGATCTCTTCTTAATTCTTGAAATCCTCCACTCTGCAATTGTTTCTTTTGATGATTTTTAGATTCATAATATTCAATAAGAAGAGCTGCTGATTTTTCTCTCAATGCTTTTATTTCAATGCTAAAATATTGCATTGATTAATATTTAATTATTATATATATTATTATATTCTCTCAGTTATTCTATCAACTTACATGATATAAGTATCCAGATATTTTTGAAATATATTTCTAGTAAGTTTAGTAAGATACGTTTCATCAGTACATATATTAAACATTTTTAATTCTGTAGACAATTTCACGGTTCTTGTATATAAATCATATAAATTTTTAAGATATTTATCAGAATCAGTTTTATCTACTAATTTAGCAACTGCATATTTTTGAAGTCTTAAATGATAAATATTTAATACAAATTTTGCCATCACTTGTTCAGGATTTGTAAATACCTGTTGCATTAATTTGTGATATTTTGTACACATAGGTATAACATCTTGAAAAACATCCTTTCCACCAAATGAACCCATTTGGCTTTGTTCTATAAATGCATCTATGCATTGAGAATATCCTTTAAAATGAGTTAAGATTGATGCTAATTCTCTCATACGATTAGCATCTTCTCTATTATGTGCTCTAACAAATTCTTCTATAAGATTTCTTTCAATTTCATCATATTTAGCAATAATTTTTTTTTTGGCATGTTCAAATTTTTCAGATGGTAATTCTTGCGAAATAAGATGAAGTTTTTGTATCACATCTGCTGCTTCATGTAGCTATTATAAAATAAAGCATTTTAATTTTTGTTTTATATATAATATAATCACAAATATATAAAATAGATATTTGTACCGATGACTTATCTGTAAAAATTGGATCTGTTAAAGGTCCAGGGCTTAAAAAATCTGAAAAATGTCTCATTAATTTTTGAGCCTCAACAGCTCTAGCTCTTGGTGTATTAACACTTTCCAATTGATCTCCTAAATGTAAAACTTTAGTAGCCACAAGATTTATTCTTTCATCTAATTGATGAAAGAGATCAATAGAATGTTTATTTCTTTCTTGTAATTCAAGTATTTCAAGTATATGTTTTGCTTCTTCATCTTTTAATGTTGTTTCAAGTTTATCACATTTTTTTTGTTGACGTTCTTGTAGAATTTGTAAATCTTTAATTGCTTGTAAAAATGTTTCATGCACTATTGTAGGATCGAAAAATGTCTTTCCATCGTCTTTTGTCGTATCATTAAGTGTTCTCCAAGCAAGTCTTTCAACAAATTCTTCAGGATCAAATGGATCCTGAAACATGATATTAAAAAAAATTATTAATATTTTATAAATTAATAACAAAAAAATTAAATTTATTATTTTAATATTATAATTTACCTGTTCTAATTCTTTCATATACTGTTGCATCATTTTGATGAAATTCAAATGACAATTATGAAAGTAAGGTTACAATATATTGTGAAATATAAATATTATTTCGATTGAATAAAAATAATAAAAAAATACATAAATTTTAATAAAATATTATCAATCATTTATTAAAAACTACAGTTTGACTAAAAAACATTTTATCTTCCAATTATTTAACTTTTAATGTATCCTATTCTATTTCATATTAACTATACAAAGAACATATACATTTATACTTACTTTCTACATCAACTTGAATATCTGTAAATATATCAATACAATTTCATTTTGTATAGTTCATATACTATTACAAATTAAAACCATATAACATATTTATATAAAATAAAAAATAATTAATTTTTAACTTATATATGATATTTATTTTTATAATCATACATTCTACTTATTACATACATTCTTCTTATGAAGTTTCATACATTATTATTAATTAATCCATAATATTATTATACTGAAATAAATTCCATAATTACGAAATATTCTTATTTTGTTTCATAAAAATTCTGTAATAACAATACAAAAACAAGATTAATTGCAATCGTAATATTTTTTGTATTTGTACAAAATATGTCTTTTCTCTCTTTTCTTTTTTCTTTTTTTATATGATATACAAAGTCTTTTTTGGTATTAATATTGCAGAATAAAATTTTACTAGAGCAATTTGATTTATTAAATATTTTTTAAGTATTTTTATAAGAAAGCAAAAACAATTGATAACGAGTATGTAATACAAAATAATATTAACTAGACTTGAATAATAATTGATGTAAAAGTAAAATAATATTGTTGTTAAAAAATTTTATCTTACAAATTCATATGAAACATACTTTATGAATATAGTTACAGAACAAAATATATTGAATTTATCAAGCGCTAGAATATTTTACAAACGGTATGATGTATTTATAATAGGCGAATAGTTTCATAAATTTTATGAGTAGCACAAGTTTAAAAAATTGATGTAACTTTATAGAAGTTACCAATTAGAAGTGTTTTTATATGCGTATGTGTGTATATACATACATACATACATACATACATACATACATACATACATACATACACACATACACACACACACATATACACATTTTTTATGTATAAGTATTACAACTTTTTGTAATAGTGTTGAAATATTTATTAATATATCATTGTTAAATTATACTAATGAGCACTGAAAAAAAGAGGGAGGCAGCAACGACGGCATGTTTCAATTATATCATTACTCTAATTCTTGTTTATCTCAAGAGTTGGAATAGATGTGGAAAAATGTTTAGGTAATATGAAGAGTAAGAATGACTTGTTCTAAGACAAAAAATATTCAATTATACATGTTACAATAACGCTAAAAAATAAAAGTGCTTATCTTTATAACCACGATACATAGTATTACGTATTTTATAAATTCGAATTGCTGTTAAACATATCATTGCATAGAATCAATGATCATCAATGCTTCGAGAAATTTTTCTATGGTCAATTTTTTGCATTAAATAATTAGCAAATGAATAATTATGTTCTTCTTTCTTAAAAAAAAAAAAGAAGATAGAACAAAAGTTGTTTTATTCAACTCTATAACAGAGTTGGTGGTCCATAATTAATAATGCTTCACACCTCATTTTTTTTCTTTAATATAAACTGAAACTTCCACAATCTTTCTTATATCTTCTTGTAATATCTTTAAGCAGTATAAAACTGCTACCATAAGATGTCCTTCTGGAATTAATAGATTTAACATTAATATACAAGCATAAATTTTTCAAATTATAATTTTCAGTTATATTTATGTAATTAATAATCATTATTATGTATAAAAAGAACTTACTTTGGTTTTAGTTGCAAAATTACATTTCTCAGCAGCATCCAGATTTAGAGGATTCAATTGGACGTCCGTGTTCTATTTTCACTTTATTTGCTGGATCACTATTACCACTTGATGGAGGACCCACTCTAAGTTTTATTTCTGCAGCCATTGTCATAAAAGCTTGTTCTACATTCATTGCATTTTTTGCAGATGTTTCCAAAAATGGTATACCAAGTTGATCTGCATATTCCTATTTATAAAGTTTAAGACATTTATTAAGATAAGAATACATTTTTGACATTAAATTAATAATAAATATATAGGAATAAAAGAAACATTATGAACAAATTTTGATTAATTATTATTGATATATTTTTTTTATAGATTTCTTACTTTTGCTGTTGTATAATCAACAACTTTTTTAGTATGAAGGTCACATTTATTGCCGACTAACAACTTATTCACATTATCACAAGCATAACGATCAATTTCTTCGAGCCATTGTTTAACATTATTAAATGTTTCCTGATCTGTGCAGTCATAAACAACAATAATACCATGTGCACCTCTGTAATAAGAACTTGTAATTGTTCTAAACCGTTCTTGACCTGCCGTATCCCAAATTTGTAATTTTATTGTTTTTCCATCTAGATCAATTGTTCGTATTTTGAAATCTACACCAATAGTACTGATATAACTTTCTGTATATGTGTCATCAGCAAAACGGAGTAAAAGACATGATTTCCCAACTCCTGAATCTCCAATTAAAAGTAACTTAAACAAATAATCACTGAAAAAAAATATTTACAATGAATAAATAAAATATAAATTATATTTAATAAATTGCATGTATAATTTTATAAATTTTTTATACAATTTATTTTATTTTTTATAATTTTATTTTTAAAAAATTTTATTTTTTATAATTTATGATATTTAATACAATGTAAAATATTATACATATGTATCAAATCAAATATTGATTATATATTTATTTTAATTACTATTTAAAAAGAATTTTTAAATTTTTTAGAGTATAGAATAATGAACAAGTTCATTAAATGATTAATTTTTCAATATATATAAATATAAATAGCTTAACAATTAAAATTAAAATCAATGATTGATATTGATACAATTATAATCTATAGTCTAAACAATAAATAATATATATAAGATTATTATAATTAAATAAAAATAAGATTACATATTAAACTATAATTATTGAATATTTAAATAAAATGAATCATAAAAACATTTAAAAAGATTTAAAAAAAAAATTTGTAAATATATATTAAAAATTAAGATTGACTTTTTTCTTTAAAATTATGGAAATATCTTCTAACAATATTTTTAAACAAATATATATATATATATATTACATAAATTTTTAATAATTATAATAAAAATTTATTTGGATTATTTTGACAAATAAAAATGTTCAATAAAACAAATTTTGTCTTATATTTTTTTATAACATTTACTAAGATAAATCTTAAATTATATTAGTATAATTTCTTAATTTAAAATTTTTAAATTTTAAATAAGCAATCAATGAAAAGAAAATATACGGAACAAACTGAAAAAATTAAAAATAAGTACAATAGAAAATGAATTTCTAAAATATGGCTTACGAATATGAAGCAAGGGAGGGGGAAAAGGTGAATCTGTCAGATAGTAAACGTTAAACAAAACTTTATCACATTAATTCAGCTATATAATGTATAAATAATATTAAGTCGATCTCTTTGATTCAGTTCAATTGTTAGAGTTATAAATAATTGATTATGTGATATTTTCACGAAATGAACATTCTTAGATACACTTATGCCTGCGCAAAAAAAAGTTTACTCACTACTCGGGATTCATAGTGGACATGCTATGCTTAAGAACACTCTTACTAATATCTGTACTGTTGTTGCGGAAATCTAAAAAATAAACACAATTCGATGAAATTAACAATATGACAATATAAATTCACAGATCACGTTCTTTAATATGAAAGATCTGTAACAATGGCGGTCACGGTAACTCCTCCCCAACCAGCAAATGAAATGTCTACCATTGACGTAATGCCAGAATGGCAGCAGGTGCTGTTTCACTCCCTCTATTTGACGGGATACGAGCGATTCAGTGCAAAACCACGTCTGCGCATTTATCTTTAAAGATCATTTTCTTTCTTTTTATTTTTTTATAATTTTTTAAATTTTTATTCTTCTTTTTAATACATTTTACAATTTTTTAATATTACAAATAAATATAGTACTAAAAATTCTCTACAAATGAATAAATATAACTGTTTCTAAAAATTAAAAATTATATTGAATATTTTAGAAATATATATCATTGTACATGTATCTGAAGTCACGACTTTAGAATATACTTTCAAGATATTGTTTCTAAGTATAATCAATATAATAAGTGAGTAGGTTATGTGCAAGTTATCTATGTGTATATATTTATACATATATAAAGAAAACTGTTCGTTATTTAAATACCAAAAAATTTTCGTCTGTATTATTTGTAATAAATTATCTATTTTCAGATAAAAATAAATATTTCTTTTATAAAATATTAATCTGATGTAACAATGTAAGTTAATAATTTCTAACATATGTAGATATATATATTTTTAAATTAATAAAAATAAATTTTTTTTAAATTATATATATATATAAAATTGATTATATTTAAATATTTAATGAGAATTATTATTTTAGCCAATCAGAGTTAATAATGTTTTTATTGTTATTATTATTTTTTTTAATATATATAAATATGTTATAAAAAGAAAATCTATATTATACATTATATTGCATTTTCAATTATCTGTTTCTAATTATCAATTTTTTCAAGTTTAAAATTATTTAAATAGCCTTTTCTTTATTAAAATAGATTTAATTTTTTTTAATGTGAATTAAATGTTAAATTATATTTGTTTATAGATAAATATTTATATAAATTAGTATAAATTTATGTATGATTTTTATTCATAAATATAAGGTGAAATTTTATACATATATATGTCATAATTATATATGCATTTATATTTTAACATTTCTAAAAACTTTTTCATTATTTTTATAATATATTAAATTTATAATAAATTGTGCATTATTTGAAATTTTAAAAATGATTATTTTAATAAAATATAATTTAAAAATATCTTTTTTTTTCTTTAGAGAAAATCATCAATAAAATTTCTGTGTTAATATAAAAAGTGGAAAATTACCATTAATGTCGCCTATATTTTCTAAAAATGTATCTTCAACTGAATTATTTTTTCGAACTGTAAATGGAAATAAATTGAAGCTTATTGATAAAAGTGTCAAAACTAAAAA